GCCAACCCAAGCCATTCAATTTACTTTTATCCGGATGGACCAGTGGGTTTCTTTCTTTTTCTTTACTGACCCTGTGTTGTGTGATCTCATATTTGACCAGTGCAGCCCTTTCAAGTTGGATCTTGCAGGGGTGTGTGTATGTGTGTGTGTGCACTCTATGCCTGCGCATGCTCACATGTAGAGAACAGAGGCCTATATCAGGGATATTCCCCTATCTCTCTTCATCTTGTCCTTTGAGATAGGGTCTCTCACTGAACTTGGAGCTCACTGACTGGCTAGGCCAGTGTGGCTATTTTTGAATGACATGTCTTAACCTTCCTTGAGAGCAGTACCAAGCTAGGTCCTAATTGTCTGCCACGCAATGTGCCAATCACTGAAAGGAGTTTTGCAAGGCAGCTGGGGGTGGAGATGGGCAACTGAACTTCCATCCACTCCTGGAGGGTAGGTAGGATTTAGAGATTTATGGAGTAGAGAACAGGGCAATGAAAGGCATGGGGGAAAGGAGGGAGGTGAAATGCCTTGTGGTCTGTGTGTGCATTGTAAAAGCATGGTTTTGATGAGGGCATGTGCTCAGAATGGCTGTAGCTTGATCTGAGGTTGGAATTTTCAGCCTCTTAATTGCAAAAGGTCACCCATTGGTCACACAGGTGTGCCCATGAGAAGAGGTGGGGTGGGTGTGTGTGTGTGTATGTGTGTGTGTACACCTGTGCATGTAGGTCAAAAGGCAACTTGGGTGTTGTAGGGAAAAGGGGCTGGCTAAAGAAACCCACCCTGACCCTGGAGCCTAGAACTAGGGAAAGATGGCTCAGATAAGGCCAGTGAAAGAAACACAGTTTGGCTCAAATCGGAGCCATCTCTGCCCTGGCCAACTGACTTGTGAAACCAACCAATCACAGAGCAGGACAGTAGAATCCTGGCCCTGGGGCCCAGAACCAGGGAAAGAAACACAGCCTGGGTTGGGGACCTGAGCCAGAGAAATGACAAGTTTATCCCCAAACCCAGAACCAAGGAAACATGCCCTGACTCTGAAACTAGTACCAAAGAAACACTCCTGGTCCCTAGAATCGGAGTCAGTGAAAGAAATGTACCCTGGCCTTAGAGGCAGTGTCAAAAAACCAAAAAAAAGGCCAATGAAAGAAACACAGTTTGGCCCTGAAATCAGGGCCATCTCTGTCCCTAACCCACAAAACTAGCCAATCCCTGGGCAGAAAAAAACTGACTAATCACTGGTTGATTCTGCCCCCAAGACATCCTATATAAACCACCCTGCCTGGTCAGTTGTGGGCTGTTCTCTCCACCCTGGTAGAGGCAGCTACTCTCCTGGACTCCACCTTCTCAAATAAATCTCTTTCTCAAAAGAGTTTTGAGTGTGAAGATCTTCATTCACCCGTGTAGAGAAAACCCTTGCTGAGATATCCCTCAGTGGACAGAGCAAGGAGGAGCTGAACAGAAGACCCTTGCTGAGATGTCCCTCAGTGGACAGAGCAAGGAGGAACTGAAAAAGTACCACTTCTCTCCGGAGCCAGAGATTGCTACATTTCTGCAGGGGTTTCCCCTTTTGCAGAGTGAAGTAAAAGAAGCAACATCTTAGGCCGGAGAAGCAGAGCTCTGCTAGGAAGCCCCCTTAAGTGGGGGCTGAGCAAAATTCAGCCATAGCGGCTCTCCAGGAGAGGAGCAGGATTGCTATATCCTGCGGGGAGACCATCCCCCACCACACCAAGTATAACCTGACTTTCCTGAATAGTCAGGATATCCTTGCCTGCTGAAGCAGTTCCAGGCCTGACTTTCCCAAGAAGTCAGAAAAACTTCCCCTCCAGGGTTGGGCTGTCTCTTTGCAGCTCCAGGCGCCAGAACTGTCCTAAGCAGCTCAAGGTGTTGCCTGACTCCCCAGATAGTCAGGACACCTTTCCCCAGAGTTGCAAAACTCACATTTTGGTGCCAAAACCTGGGACCAAACCCACAGATTGTAACAAATTTAATTTACTTACAGGTGTCATCCCCCAGCATCTGTGAGTTTTTGTTTTGTTTTGTGATGAGATCTTACCAGCATGGACCTTATGCCAAGCAGACTAGGCTGGCAGGCTGGGAGACACCAGAGATCTGTGCTCTTTGACTCTCCCCTATCCCCACCAGCTAGGATTATCAGCAGTTGACACCATGCCAGCTTTTAAAAAAAAAAAAAAAAAAAAAGTGTGTTCTAGGGATCAAACTTATGTCTTTCTGCTTGCAAGGCAAGCACTTGACCAAATGAGCCACCTCCCCAGCCTAAGAGCTAAGTGGTTTTGATAAAACAACAACAGCAAAAAAAAAAAAAAAAAAAAAAAAAAAAAAAAAAAAAACCCAAAACCAAACAAACAAACAAAAAAACCTGCCTTAAAGTCTCTGAAAAGTAATTTAGCAGGCACTGTCCTCATACTTCACATGTCAGATGGGCCTTCTGTGGTAAAGCTAGTGGATGCAGCCCAGCTGTGTGACCTCCAGAATCAGCCACATTTACAGTCCGATTCCAGAAGGTAAAATAGGAGGATCATAGGGGAGGGGTGTCTCAGGTTAGAGAAGCGGAAAGAACAAAGGTTCTCAGAACACTTCCCTAATGGAAGTATTACAGCTGAAGGGAAAGGCTTCCCCAGTGGAAGTTGTCTTAGAGTTTTTATTGCTGTGAAGAGACACCATGACCACAGCAACTCTTATAAACAAAACATTTAATGGGGGGGGGGCTCCCTTATGGTTTCAGAGGTTCATTCCATTACCATCATGGCAGGGAGCATGGTGGCATGCAGACACGGTGCTGGAGGAACAGCTGACAATCCTCCATCTTGCAGGCAACAGGAAGTCAACTGACTATCACACTGGGTGAAGCTTGAGAAAAGAGACCCCAAGCCCACTCCCACAGTGACAAGTGACACACTTCCTCCAACAAGACCATACCTACTCCACCAAGGCCACACCTACTAATAATGTCACTCCCTTTGTGGGAGAGCATTTTCTTTCAAACCACCACAGAGGTGTTGCTTCTCTAAGGGGGAAACTTTCTCCAACGGAAGTGTTACAGTTCTGCTCTGAGGGGGAAAGTTTCCCTAATGCAGATGTTACAGCCCTGCAGGGAAAGGTATCCTGGCAGTTGGGAGCCACAGAATATCACAAAGTCACACTGCACAATAACCTAATGCAAGAGATTTATTGGAAGAGACACAAGAGGGTGGCTGTCTCTCCTTGAGTGAGAAGCTGCAGGGAACTGAGCAGGACACAAGCCTACATAAGGTTTCTTAGGGGAGGAGTTTTCCAGGGTGGGGATTTCCAAGGTGGGGATTGGTGAGATTTCAAGCCAAGCCAGGAATTGGTGGGATTTAACACTCAGGGATTGGTGGGGTTTGGTAGTTTTTCAAACCTGGAAGTGGTCTTGAACCTTTTACCCTGCAGGTTCAGTTTGCCTCAGTCCAGACCAGGGGAGTTTGTTTTCTGGTGCTTTCCAGAGTAGAGAGGACTGTCCTTCCATAGAGACAGATCTTCCCCGAGAATGGTTCCCAGGCTCCTGAGAGTTGCTTCTGAACTGTGAACGATTGACGTGTGCAGTCACAGTGTAGGGTAAAAAGGTCCAAGTTCACTTCCGGGTTTTGAAAACCCACCAATCCCTGGGCTTGCCCCAGGCTCAGGACTTGAAATCCTACCAATTCCCACCCTGGAAATCTCCACTCTGGAAAACGCTGCCCCCAAGAAACACTATATAAAGCCTGCCTTCCCACTCAGTTCTCTGCTGCTGCTTGTCCAAGCAAAGGATCCACTCTCTTATGTCTTCCCAAGAAATCTCTTATGTGAGGTTTGTTGTACAGTGTGACTTTGTGGTATGCCTTAGCTCCCAACTGCCAGGATACTTTTCCCTTCAGAAGGACAACACTTGTACTGGGGATATCTTTCCCCTCAGAGCTGTAACTCTTAGCACACAGGACCTCCCTTTGACAGGGATCCAGCAGAGTCTGTAGCCCATCCATCAAGGCTCTGATCTAAGACATTTCTTAGCACAGTCTGAAGGGTTTGGATTGGCTTTTGTCCGAGGGAAAAGGGCTGAGGAGAAGGGATCTGACCTGGAGAAGCGCCATTGCATCTACCTTGCTTGGGGTACGGCAGGCACTGGCCAGAGAGATAGAAATGAGGAGGGGCTCAGGGCGAAGCACGTGTGGCTATGAGAGTGTTTACCCAACTGTGCTGCCTATTTTTATGCCCGCTTGACACAAACTAAAAAACCCCTGGGAAGAGGGTTTTTCACTTTAGGAATTGCCTGCATCAGATGGGTCTGTGCAGAAGTTTGTGAGGCATTTTCTTAACTGATTATTGATGTGGGAGGGCCTGGCCTTCGGTGGGCGGTGCTACCCCTGGACTGGTCGTCCTGAGTGGTGTAAAAAAAAAAAAAAAAGGAGTCTGAGCAAGCCTTGAAGCAAGTCAGTAAGCAGTGGTCGTCTTTCGGCTCTGCTTCAGTTTCTGCCTCAACTTCCCTACATAAGAGACTATAAGGCTGTAAGGTGAAGTGAATTCTTTCCTCCCCAGCTGCTTTTGGTCACGTGTTTATCACAGCGACAGAAAGCAAACCAGACAGGTGGCAGGAACCTCTGGTGGCAGGAACGAGCCTTTCATGAGATACCAACATCAAACATGGCTAAGGCGGCCATGGAGATGGTCCAGGACAAACTTTTGGGGGCGTGGCCCTGCGCTCTGACTTCTGGCATAGGCGGGGCTCCGAGACAGCCTGGCCGCGCAGGCGCGCTTCTCGGGCTCTACTTGGAGTCAGAGGGGCGGGGCCTCCCCAGAGGATGCTTTGCTCAGGCGCGCTGCGGAAGAAAGAGGCCGGGTGTGTGTGGCTGTGAAGGGCACAGGGGCGAGGCTTCCCGGTAAAACGCTCTGCGCCGGCGCACCTCTCGAGTGGGGGCAGAAGCTGGGCTACAGGAGCAGAGGGGAGGAGCTATGGCGGGCAGAGGGGCGGGGCCTCTAGGAAGGACGCGCTGCGCAGGCGTAGGCCGAGCAGCCGCGTTATAGGCTGCTGTGCATTGTCCTGTGTTGCATCCAGGAACCAGCAAACCAGGATGGGCCGGAAGGTGACCGTGGCCACCTGTGCACTCAACCAGTGGGCCTTGGATTTTGAGGGCAATTTCCAGAGGATTTTAAAGAGTGAGTCTGGGGTGGCGGGGGACAGGAAGAAGCCAAAGTCCCCAATGATCAGGGTATGGCACTCAAGACCAGCCCAGGAGAGATTCATAGAGCTGGGCATGGGAACAGATAAAAGGGTAATGGCCTGGCCCTGTTGAGCTTTCAGGGGGACTTCCTATTGGGGGACACGTGGAGTAGCAAGGCGAGAATGGAAATGGACATGTCCTACCTGGCTGGGCAGACACAGCCCTCAGCCATCTTCTAGGATCTGATGGGTCTCTAGTGTCCCTTGGAGAAGAGCTGCCTGTCCTAGGAGCTGGTTGTGTGGGATCTATGGTCTAGGGTCCCTGAGGACATTCCTGGTAGATGGGCATTGGGAAAATGCATACCGAACCGAGAAAGCAGGTAAAGGGTGAGCTCTCAGCTCAGAGGAGTGTCGTTGCCACTGAATATCCATGTATTGTTGACATTCATGTCAGCTCACCAAAAAGATAGAACTGTTTCTACCACGTCCAAACTGGGGCCACTGGGTAGAGCTGCAGATTTCCCACTTCAGGTTGTCCATGCTGAGCTGCCTCTGTAAGAAAACTAAACAGGAACAAGAGGTAGCCGGTCAGCTTTAAAAACCAACAAAACCCCACATTTATCATTGTTTATTGCATGTACACATGCTTGCTTGTCATGGTGTGCATGTGGAGGTCAGAGGAGAGCTTGCAGGAATCATTGTCTCCTAACACCATGTGGGTTGAAGGCAGCAGTTCTCAACCTGTCAGTTGCAAGCTCTTGGGGGCTGAACGACCCGACCCTTTCACAGGGGTCACATACCAGATATCCTGCATAACAGATATTTGCATTATGATTCATGACAGTAGCAAAATTACACTTATGAAGTAGCAATGAAAATAATTTTATGGCTGGGGGTCAGCACATGAGGAACTGTATTAAAGCACAGCAGTAAACTCCGGTTGTCAGGCCTTGCAGCAAACACCTTTACCTACTGAGCCATCTGGCCAGCCCGGGTGGCTTTGTTTTTTAAAGTATATTGACCTGCTTCTGTTGTCAGAGTGTATGTCTTTGGGGTGAAGATGGTCTCCCTTGCCTGCATGTTGGCAGCAGCTGTCAACGTGGGGTGGGTGCTGGATGATGGCTCACTCCTAGAGTTGGAAGCCTTCACATCCTGTCTACAGCTTTTTCCTATAGCTAATCTGGGTGTCTGCTTATTGATTACCTACAACGGTATGACTTACCCATCCCCAGTGCTAAGGTCACTATACCCTGATGCAGAATACTTGTTTATACCGTGTGAAGATGTGTCACTGTGATTGGTTTAATAACGAGCTGAATGGCCAATAGCTAGGCAGGAGAGGATAGGCGGGATTTCCAGGGAGAGAGAGAACTCTGATATGAAGAGAGGCCGGCAGACGCCAGCTAGATACAGAACAAGTCACATACACTGTATGGAGGAGAGGTAGCCGAGCCACTTGGCAGAAGGTAGATTAATAGAAGCAGGTTAATTTGGATTATAAGAGCTAGTTAGGGAAAAGCCTAAGCAAAAGGCCAAGCTTTCATAATTAATACTAAGTGTCTGTGCCATTATTTGTGGGCTGGCAGTCCAAGAAAGTCCAACGAGAAAGTACTAGTACACTACCCTCCCTGTTTCTGATTTCCTGCAAGTGTATACAGGTGTGTACAGGTAGGTGCCTGCTGTCCTCTGCTTTTAGCAGAACTGGCTGCAGTGGCCTGTGGACACGACAGAGCTTGGCTTTGGCCGTATCTACTGTAGCACCCTGCTTTTCCTGCCCCTGAATGTGTCCTAGCTGCTGAAATCTTTCTCTCTCCCTCTCTCTCCATATAGGTATTCAAATTGCCAAAAACAAAGGTGCAAGATATAGGCTTGGACCAGAACTGGAAATATGGTATGGCTAAGCACACTGGCATCCCACCCCTGGGAGGGCAGGTAGTGGAATCAAAAGATGGGAAGAAGAGGGGCAGTACTGAGAGCAGAAGAAATGTAAACCCTTTAGGATGTCAGCAACCTGAAAGTGCGCCTGGGTCAGGGCAGGACAGGGAGGCTGGATAACTCCAGGCTTCTGGTGGGCAAATAGAGGGGCAAGGTTGGGCCAGGCTGGAGCTGAATTCAAAGCCAGGCTGTGTCACCTTCCCTGAGGCTTTGGTTTTAATGTTCTTCCAACATTCTTCTGCAGATAGCTGGTCCCAGGGTGATGGTACTGAGAGGCGGGGCTTCGGAGAGGGGATTAAATCACCATTAGTGGCATCTTATATAAAGGCCCCAGAAAGCCTATTTGCCTCCCCCGTAAGACGCCACCTGCAAGGTGCCCTCTTTGCAACTGCTCAGGGCCAAAATGCTGAGGAGCGATGAAGGGGCCATATTTGAAGCAGGGAGCAGTCTGTAGCAGACATGAGTTCTACAGACGCCTTGACTTTGCAGCTGCAGCCCCAGAGCTGGGTGCAGTGGGCTCCCGTGGTATCTTAGATGGCAGGTCAGTACACTGAGACATCTCCCTAGATTTTCATTTTCTTTCTTTTTTTTTTTAATTAAAAATTTTTTTAGATTTATTTATTTTATGCATATGGGTATTTTGCTTGTACATCTCTCTGGGCAGCACTTTCATGACTGGTGCCCACAGAGGCCGCAAGAGCATGGTTGGATCCCCTGAAATTGGTAGTTGTGTGTGAGCCAGATGGGTGTGAGCATCAAACCCAGGCCATCAGTCTTGGTGGGAAGTGCCTTGGCCCACTGAGCCATCTTGCTAACCCCATGTTTTCATTTTCTATTTGGCCATAAAGAGATTTCATCCCATCATCTCAGCATCTTTTTTTTTTTTTTTTTGGTTTTTCGAGACAGGGTTTCTCTGTGTAGCTTTGCGCCTTTCCTGGAACTCACTTGGTAGCCCAAGTTGGCCTCGAACTCACAGAGATCCGCCTGGCTCTGCCTCCCGAGTGCTGGGATTAAAGGCGTGCACCACCACCGCCCGGCCATCTCAGCATCTTTTAATGGTCCCTTCCTGGTGCCCTTTTCATGAGAATAGAGAAACCAATGACTTGATTTCTTCTGTTCTCTTGCTAGGCCAACCCCTTGTGTGACCCTGTCCAGCTACAGCTCCTTTCTGGCTTGGGGTACCTGTCTGTCTTTGAGGTTCCCCACCTCCTCTTTGTCCCCCTCCCTACTTTGCTCTGATGCAGCAGTTCTCAACGTGTGGGTCGAGACCGCCTTGGGGGGGGGGGGGTCACATACAGATATTTACATTCCAATTCATAACATAGCGTACATTTCAATTCATAACATGACAAAATTACAGTTATGAAGTAGCAAGGAAATAATTGTATGGTTGGGGGTCATCACAACATGAGGAACTCTGTATTAAAGTGTTGCAATATTAGGAAGGTTGAGAACCACTGTTCTGATGTCTGGACATAAGGGAAACAGACATGTACTTCTCTCCCGAACTTTTATGTTAGTCCCAAGGCATCCTCCTCTTCATCCTCCTGGATTAACCTGCTTCACTAGTCTAATGTCTCTCCATAGAACCCTGACTCTGTCCCCCATGCCATCCAAGAGTGTCTGCGCCTCTCATTGAATTTGTTCTTAACAACTCACTTACCTGGAAGGCCCTGGAAAACCTGGCCCCTGACCCAACCTGTCATGGATGCCCTGGGTCCCTCCTGGTTGCTCCTGGCCCCTCACTGGCCTGCTCCCTCTCTCTTCAGTGGCTATGGATGTTGGGATCATTATCACGAGTCAGACACCCTCCTGCATTCGCTCCAAGTCCTGGCTGCCCTTCTGGACTCTCCCATCACTCAGGATATCATCTGTGACGTGGGCATGTAAGTGCCAGCATGAGGCTGAGAAAGGGGAAACTTGGAGGAAAGGCAAGTTCAAGGGAGTTCTGTACCCAGCACCCCTTCATTCAGGGCCATGGAGTCCAAGTGGGACACTAAAACCCTTAGTTAGGTTGAATGTAGATTTTGTTCAACCCTATAGCCAGCCACTTATCCTTCCCAAGGCAACAACTCTTTGAAGCAGTTTTTGAGTTCTTCAAGGAGTTTCTGGGCACCCATGAGCACATTCCACACAAATGCAAGCTAAATGTTCATCCTGACACAGTTTTCTTCATGGTAAATTTGGGGGAGCTTCTCCTGGGGACATGCCATCCATGAGCCTTGAATGACATGGATTCCTCAAGTATGACTCCACCCAGCACACTGGAACCTTCTAGTGTGTGTCTGACCATGCTTGGCATAGTGGTCCCCTGTCGATGGCCGCTGCAAGAGCAGCAAGTGCTGTGCACCATGCAGCCTTTTCCCCAGCCCTGATTGGCTCTATTACCCAAGGAGTTCAGTATTTTCCTGTTTGGTGGTCGTCGTGTACTGTTGGGGAGTTGTCTAGTTTGGGAGCTCTATATACAACTATGTCTTATTTGTTTGGAGAGTTCTTTGTATATGAAGAGCCACAATATGCTCCCACATGAAGAAAATGTTTCCTTGTGTGCTGCCTACTGTTTAATTTTGCTTCCCGGTTAAACTTGAAAATGTCTGTGTGATGACAGCGCTGATCATTATCTTGTAGTGTCTGTTTTTCTTTCAATGCTTCCTCTAGCTAGAAGACCCTGTTCTTTTGTTTTTGTTTTTTGTTTGTTTGTTTTGATTGTTTGTTTTTGTTGGGTGGTTTGGTTCAGGATTTTTGTATTTTTTTTTCTAATTCTTTTAATTGCATTTACTTATTTTGTATGTGCTTGTATGCCACCGCATGCATATGGGAGTCAGAAAATAACCTGATGGAGTCAGTCTCCTCTTTCACCGTATGGGTCCCAGGGATGGAACTCAGGTAGTCTGCCTTGGTGGCAAGTTCCTCACCCCTCGGAGCCATTTCAGCACCAACCAGTTTGGTTTCTTTGAGACAGGGTCTTATATAACCCAGGTTAACCTTGAACTCTGTGTAGCTGAATATGATATCAAACATCTAATCCTCCTGCCTCCACTTCCAGAGTACTGGGATGAGCGTGCTGTCTGAGGCCCCTGCTTTACACAAGTCATCTGTATATCCAGTACTCTGCACACCCTTGCACAAATGGCACCATCCTTAACATGCTTTACTTGGCTTAAGAGAGGCCTGGAAGCCAGGATGTCATAAGTTTTGCTCACAGTGGCAGTACATGACCGTGGTTAGGGCTAGGGGGTGTTGACAGATGAAGGGCAGGGTGCCCCTGCATGTATCCTACCTGTTTGGGAGGAAGGATTAGGGCAGGTCAGCCTCTGACTAGGGGAGGAGGCAGCGGAAGCAAGCAGTGATGGGAACAATCACCCTGAGCTCTGGGACGTTTTAGAAGAGGGAGCCTTGTTTCAGAACACTTTTGAGTTTAATCTGAAAGCCTCAGAAGGGTGTTGAGAGTCTCTCTAAAGATCTGAGGAAACCACACACCACCACAAAGCATCCAGGGGCTGGGGGACTGCTCACCCGAGTTGGATCTCCAGGACCCATGTAAAAAGCCATATACATCAGGATGCCTTTGAAACCCCAGTGCTGGGAGGTAGGATAGAAGGGTCCCTGGGGCTGGACCTGTGAGCCCCAAGTTAAATGAGAAACCTTATCTCAAGAAATAAGTAGAGAGGCTTAAGAGATGGCTTAATGGTTAAGAGCACATGCTGCATACCTCCGAGTTCAGTTCCAAGTACTTATGTCCCAACTGCCTGTAACTTCAGCTCCAGGAGATCTGACACCTCTTACCTCACTCATGTGTACATACATGCACAAGCGCATGTGTGTATACATACACAGGTGCGTGTATGTAGATATGTGTACAAATACATACGCATTCCCAACTGTGTGTGCACATGCACACATGCATGCATGAACGTACATACACAAAATCAAAAGTAAAGGTTAATCCTAAAAAACCTAAGGTAGAGCTGGCTAAGGAGGACTTCTGATGTTGACCTCTGGTGTCCAGCTGTGCATGCATGGGAGTGGGCCTGTCTGTACACAACAAAGGAACACATGACTCTAGTTAGAGCCACCACCTCTGCTCAGGGTGCTCCCGTGACGTGTCCTCCCTCCTGCTTGCAGGCCTGTGATGCACCGGAATGTTCGCTACAACTGCAGGGTCATCTTCCTCAACCGGTAAGTGAGGTGGGAGGAGCGGGGCTGGCATGCCTGTGCCTGGCTCTGGTGGGGGCTATCTTGAGGGGTGCCCTTAGTGAGTGCAGCATCCCAGCAACTCCTGTGAATCTCCTTCTCTGGGCCTCAGCCATCTCACTTAGGATAGAGGAGGAGACCCAAGGTTGGGTTTTTTGGGCTTTTTATCCTTGTCACCTGGACAATAAAGGTGAGGAAAGTCTTCTGGCCACCCCTCCCCCAACACACACACACACACACACACACACACACATACACACACACACACACACACACACACACACACACACACACGCTTCCAGCAAAGTGCACTTGTTGGCTAATGGAATCATGGAGACCTTTTTTTTTTTCCCCAAGCAGAAAGCTCAAGCGTAGAGAGAAACAAAAAACAAAACAAAACAGATTTGCTCAAGGCCCTGGTCTGGAACCAGCTCAGCGGCCTCACCTTATCCTATGGGGCACGTTTCATGGCAGAGGCCTGCTTGTGCCAAGAGGTTGGTGTGAGCAGTCCTTTCACCTCCTGTAGGAAGATCCTGCTCATCAGGCCCAAGATGGCCTTGGCCAATGAAGGCAACTACCGGGAACTGCGCTGGTTCACCCCCTGGTCCAGGAGCCGGTGAGTGGCAGGTGCTTCGGTTGCAGTGTGTTGGGACCACACACACCAAGTGTTCACTAAATGTCCTCAGCACATGCAGCCTCGGTTGGGAGGTGAGCCACAGAACACTGTGGGGGTGGGAGGACTATTCCTGCCATTCAGACATGGCCAATTCCATGCTGTTAGTTCAAGTCTGAGCCAGTAGACATCACAAGACCTTAGCCGTCAGTCAGTGGTCCTGGTCACTTTTAAGTGGAGGGACACTGTGTCTCAAATTGTCCTTTATAGCAAGGACTCCCAGCGTAGCCCATTTGACCTTTGGGAACAGTTTGTTCTTTGAGGGTAGAGGGCCTGTCCTGTGCAGTATATGGTGGTCAGAGGCATCCCAACCTCTGAGTAGAGTTTATTAACCAAAATTACCCCTAAGCTAGGTAGGCATGGTGGTATACACCCATCATCCTGGCACTTGGAGGTGAAGGCTGAAAAATCAGGACTTCAAAGACACCTTTGGCTACATAGTGAGCTCCAGGTCAGCCTGGGGAACTCAAGACCCTGCCACAGAGCAAAAACTGATTGTCCCAGACTTTAAAAAAATGTTTCCTAGGGGGCAAAATGCCCCGAGTTGGGAAGTCCTGCTCTGTGTTTTAGGTTATTGTCTTAGTCGGTGTTCTGTTGCTACGAGGAGACACCATGACCATGGTAATTCATATAAAAGAAAACATTCCATTGGAACTTGCTTATAGTTTCAGAGGTTTAGTCCATTATCATCATGGCAGGGAGCATGGTGCCATGCAGGCAGACATGGTGCTGGAGAAGTAGTTGAGAGTTCTACATCCGGATCCACAGGCATCAAGAGAGGAGAGCCACTGGGCCTCGCTTGGGCTTTTGTAATCCCAAAGCCCACCCTCTATTACATGCTCCTCCACAAGGCCACACTTCCTAATCCTTTCAAATAGTGCCACTCCCTAAGCATCCAAATATATGAACCTATGGGAGCCATTCTTATTCAGACCACCACAGTTACCCCCATTTATAATTGGCTATTATCCCTGTGAACAGGGTCTTTAGCATTATACTTTAAGTGGTCGACAGCTGACCTAGGAAAAGGATTGGATTCTGAGGGTTGCTGTGTATTTGAGGGGCTTGTGAATTCTGGCCCTGTCTTGTAATTGTGTTGATTTCCTTTGCTTTTCCATCAAGTAGAACTCTTGCATAAGGAGCACCTGATGTGATTTCTTTCCATATTTACATTTCTCAGTCCATCTTCTTCACTTTTGCCAGCCAGCATTTGTAGCTAGAGTTTTCCTGCCTGGCCCACAGTTAGGACAAATCTCTCTCACCTGCCAGTCCCACTGCCACTCAGACCCAACCAAGTAAACACAGAGAATTATAAATTGCTTACAAACTGTATGGCCGTGGCAGGCTTCTTGCTAACTGTTCTTATATCTTAAATTAATCCATTTCTATAAATCTATACCTTGCCACGTGGCTCGTGGCTTACCAGCATCTTCACATGCTGCTTGTCATGGCGGCGGCTGGTAGTGTTTCCCCGCCTCAGCCTTCCACTTCCCAGAATTCTCCTCTCTCCTTGTCCCGTCTATACTTCCTGCCTGGCCACTGGCCAATCAGTGTTTTATTTATACAGAATGATATCCACAGCAAGTGTTTCTACAACATTTTAGATTATTCCTAGAACAGAAGGCTTGGATTTCTGCCTTCCTTCTAACTAACTAGAAATCTCCTTGAGTTTCTCCGTTTGGCTTCAGACTTATGTCTCCACCACCCTTTGTTTTCACTGTGAATTTTAAAAAACATTTTATTTTTATTTATGTGTTTGTGTCTGTGTGGGGGTATGTGCACATAAATGCAGAGCCTACAGAGGCCGGAAGAAGGCAATGGATCCTCTGGTGGTGGAGTTACCGCCAGTTGTTAGCTGCCATTCCCAGCTGCTGGGACAGAACTCAGTTCTTGACTGCTGAGTCAACTCTACAGCTCTGCCTTTTTAAAACGGAGAATGAATGTTGAAGTCCAGTTTGAAGTCCAAATAAGTCAGGTGAACAGAGAGAGTAAACCTTTGTGCCCTTGCTTAAATTCCAAGTGAATGTGGGACATTAAACTTGGATTCAGCCAGGCGGTATCTTTAATCCCAGCATTCAGGAGACAGAGGCAAGTGGATCTCTGAGTTTGAGGTGAGCGTGGTCTACAGAGAGAGTTCTAGGACACCCAGGGCTACACTGTGAAACCTTGTTTCAAAAAAAAAAAAAAAAAGCCCCAACAATAAACAAGCAAAAGACTTGGATTGAGTTTGTTAAGGTTTATTCAGAAATTGACTTACTTTCTAGAATTGTATGCCAGTGCTCTGTTAGAGGTTTTTTGTTTTGTTTTGTTTTGTTGGGGAGTGGTGTATCTCTTGTGTTGTGTTTTGGTCTTAATATTATGAGGTTGTTTTCTTTTTCTGTGTCCTGGATGTGTTATGAGAGTGCTATATTATCCAATTACAATGTATTAAAATTTCCCTCCACATAAGAATAGGTGACACACACCTTTAATCCCAACATACAGAAGGCAGGGACAGGCTGAGCTCTGTGTATTCAAGGCCAACCTGGTCTGCATAGTTCCAGGCCAGCCAGGGCTACACAGTGAGACTCTTATCTAAAAACTAATAATCAAGTTAAGAATGAGGGGCTGGAGAGATGGCTTAGAGGTTAAGAGCACTTACTGGTTGCTCTTCCAGAGGACCTGGGTTCAGTTTCCAGCACCCACAAGCAGCTCCCAACTGTCTGTAACTTCAGTTCCAGGAGATCTGATGCCCTCTTCTGACCTCTGTGAGCACCTGTCCTCATATACACATGCCTACACACAGACAGACACACATGTGCACACATAAATACAAATTTTAAAAGTATCTAAAGTAATGGCCTTTCCAGAAGAAGCTGGCTTCTGAAAGTTGTCCTCTAGCCTCTACACAAGCACCATGGCATGTGCACACCCATATACTTATACACACAATGAATAAATGAATATAAAAATAAAAGAAAAAGAAATGGCTTTCCTAGCATCTTCCTGCCTTTCCCGGGACTTGTTTGGTCCATCCTTAGATGACCCATAAATGGGGCAGAGTGCCGAGAGGCCATTTACCCAGTAACGTTTTACTTTATATAATAATAAGGGTAATTTGTTATTGTTTTGTTTTGTGGTTTGTTGACATGGGATCTTATACTGTAGTCCAGTGCTAGGGTCACAGGTCAGTACTCAGTGGATCCTTGCATGAGTTGGTAAATGTGAGGACGAATGTACTGATGGCTCATCAACATTTTGGTTTAGGGACATTGCTGCTTCCTGACCTCCAGATGGGGTCAGAGGACCCCTCTAGGATGGTGTGGCCATGAGGGGGTCTGTGGGCATCTTGTTTCTGTTCCCTCTGTTGATGGGGGAGGGGTGGGAGAGGCCTATCCACTCAGCTCCACGACTTCTGGCATTGTGCTTCAGTAGAAGAACCACTGGCATTGTGTCCACACACCACGAATTCTAAAGTGAATAGAACAGTCTGTGTTTGGTGTCTGAGCAGTGTGCCTTACAGTGGCTTGTTTGAAGTCAGAAATGTCAGCTTTTGGGTGCTGGTGGCACACGCCTTTAATCCCAGCACTCGGGAGGCAGAGCCAGGTGGATCTTTGTGAGTTCGAGGCCAGCCTGGTCTACAGAGTGAGATCCAGGAAAGGCGCAAAGCTACACAGAGAAACCCTGTCTCGAAAAACAAAAAAAAACAAAAGCAAAAACAAAACCCAAAAAACAACAAAAAAGAAATGTTAGCTTTTTATATAGTTTTTTTTTATTTTTTATTTTTTTATTTATTTTTTTTATAATTAAGTCCACTGGAGTAGATGAGACTCCCTAGACCAAAGCTGTGTGTGGTAAATACTTTGCCTGTCAAAGGCTGTATACTGTAACCCTATTGTCTCATTGGTAAGGTAGGTGTGGTTGTGTCTATGGGTGAACGTCACAGGACTTTTCCAGGGTGAGGAGAAACCCTGATTTCTCCCTTGGAATGGCAACCTGATTCTAGTCCCCCCTCCCTCAGTCTCGCAGAAAACACTGAGAGGCAGAGACACTCCAGTATGCATGAGTTCTACAGTGTCTATCATAGGTCTCTGTGTGAGGGGGTGGCATTGCCTCTGACGACACAGCACTCTCAGGAGCATGGCATGGTTAGACTGAGGGCCCATGTCTGAGCCATGCTTCCTGTTTCCCAGGACCTCACCTCAGCTCTGCCATGCTTCCTGTTTCCCAGGACCTCACCTCAGCTCTGCCATGCTTTGATTCTTTCCTTTCAGGCAAACTGAGGAATATGTCCTCCCTCGGATGTTACAGGACCTGACAAAGCAGGTGCATCCTTCCCAGGGTTTCCTGCCAGTGCGGGCTGAGGGTGGGCACAGGAGGAGCTCCTGGGTGGAGTCAAAGCATAGCTGGGTAGATGGGAAGCACAGAGCGGAACTTCACAGGAGGGCTGACTGCAAGCCAGGCTGCAGGAGCCAGCCAGCCCTCGGCAGAGGTGGACTGTGATTCCAGGACAGTTCTAGGAGACCACAGCCAGCCGGTGGTGGGCACATCTCTGAGCTTCATCCCTCTCATTGTGCTGTGGACCTGGGGTCCTCACTCTGCTTGCCTCCTTGGTAAATGGTGACATTGTTGGTGGCAGGAGATGGAGTGGAGGAAAGGGCCTGCTGCAGCCATAGTGGAGCTGTGTGTCTCGTGGTCATTGAGTAGGGAAGTGGGAGAGCCTGGGGTCAGCAGAAGTCGAATATGCTGGGGCTGGCACAAGGTGAGGAAAACCTTAGGGAGGACCTGGGATAGTATGGTAGCCTTCAAGATGTCGGAGGCCAGTGTGTAGCCCAGTAAGCAGCCCCGGGATCAAAAGTGGTCTTTTTTTTTTTTCCACTGCAGGAAACTGTGCCCTTCGGAGATGTGGTACTGGCCACCCGGGACACCTGTGTTGGGAGCGAGGTCTGTGAGGAGCTCTGGACACCGCGCAGGTCAGCCAGCTCTCTACGCCATCCACTCCCCGTCGTGGGCTGACCAGTGGGAAGACGACCCAGGCTTTGCAGCCTCTTGAGGTCGTGGCCTTAACCATGGAGGTCCCCCTAGAGAGCTGAGGTATCACAGGAGCCCAGCAGTCATTCCACCTGCCTCCTTCAACAGCCCCCACATCGACATGGGCCTGGATGGTGTGGAGATCATCACCAACGCCTCGGGCAGCCACCACGTGCTACGCAAAGCCCATACCAGGGTGGATCTGGTAACCATGGCCACTTCCAAGGTGGGCATTGGGCAGGATGGATAGAGTAGTGTCACAAGTTAAGGCTTCATCAGAGGAACCCCCAAGAGCAACAGCACCTGGGGCAGGGCTCAGCCACCGGGGCATACCACACCTCTGGTGCATACTTAAGGCTGTGGTTTGAGGCTGCATTCCATACATGCTTGGTCCCTCCCAGGTTTCTCTTGCTGGTATCACCAGGCCCTAACTGCCATCATTCAAAGCAGATTCTGTTGACACTGCTATGACAGAGAACCAGGATGTGTTCCTGTCCATGATTGTCATGGAGACACGTACCAACTTGCATGCACCTGCCATTGACCTTGGACACAGTGGAGCAGTACTGTTAGTCCTTGGTGCAGATAGAGTTGCCCCAGGTTGAAGATGGGCACAGATAGGAGATAACATCTATCCCTCACAGAGGTCACCCACGGTCACCAGTGCTTCCGGTGGCCCTGAAGCTCAGTGCTGCCCCATCACACTGCCCTAGCTGCAGTGGCCCTGTCATATAGGGACAGCAGTACTGCACTGTGAGCTGAGGGAAAGTAAAAATGGATGTTCTATGGGGTGCCCGACACCTGGTGTCATGTGACAGTATTTCAAGAAGACTCAACAGGTCTACTCACCCCAGATAGGGAACCAATGATAGACCAAAGTAACAATACCATCAAAGTTCAACATGGTACACCAGTGAGTTTATTGGAATTACTCAGCAATAGGTGAGGGGTTACAGACAGGTGTAGGGATGAATCAGAGGCAGCTGCATCACCAAAGTCCCATGGACAGTCCATAAAAGCTGGAACCCTGGAGCGCTCTTCACAATTTACAGGCAGTTTGACAGATCAGAAAGTGTCTCTTCCAGGCAGCTTGGCTGGTCTGAGGGCCTCTCAGCAGTCCTTACTGCTTACGGGGCCTTGGAGAGGAGGGGCCTTGTGCATCTGCTAAGTTTCAGGAACTTCCTGAGACGTGTACATTATTGACTTCCTGATGTTTCCATTTTGAGGAAATTGCAGCACAACACCTGGCAAAGCCCCATGAACTGGAGCCGTGGAGCTTTGTGTCCCCACCTGCACCTACTGTATCTGTCAGAGTCCGGATGCCAATGGCAACTTGGGACCGGGTGGAGAACAGCAGACTGGGGCATCTAGGTGTCCTGTTCAGCACTAGTGGCAGTCACAGGTTACATAAAGCACTGATAGCTCTGCTGTCACCTCTGCTTCTTCTAGAATGGTGGCATCTACCTGCTAGCCAACCAGAAGGGCTGCGACGGTGACCGTCTCTACTATGATGGCTGTGCCATGATTGCCATGAATGGGAGCATCTTTGCCCAGGGCACTCAGTTCTCATTGGATGATGTGGTAATGAGCCAAGCATGGGGATGGGGAGCGGCCTCCACACTGCCCAGTCAGTTGACTGCTCATCTGTATAGTGCCCCCTCCCCTAGCTGTGAGGAGGGATCCCCTTAGGGCAGGCTCTGGCTGAACAGAGCAGAGGAAAATGTCCCTGCTGGGCATGAGCTATGGAGGAGGACCCCAGGCTGAAGTGAGCACATTGGGGCAGATACCACAGTGTCTGGGACACAGGGCTATTGAGCATGTTTGACTCATTTTGGAGGCTGACAAGATGAAACCCCCCCTATCAGGGATTAGCAGACACTAGGCCTGGTCCTGTCATAAGGGATGGTGACCATCCAGCTTAACTGGGGATGTTATCCTCAGGGGCATCTGGCCTGTCCAAGATCTGTCAGTTCCCCCATGGCTTGGACCGCACATGTTGGGGGTGGGGGGCATACCTACATTAGTCACTTTTCTCTCTAATGTGTCAATACCTGACAGGAGTTCTTTCGGGAGGAAGAGTTTACTTTGGCTCACAGTTTGAGGCTAGCAGGCCATCATGGTGGGAAGGTGCGGCAGTCTGAGTGTGAGCCAGCCGGTCACATCACATCCACAGTCGGAAGCATAGAGATGAAGGCTGTTGCTCAGCACTTTCTACTTTCTATTCAATCTGGGACCCCAGTCCACAGGCTGGTGCTACCCACATTCAGACACTCCCTCACAAACATACCCAGAGATTTGTTTCCTTGGTAATTCTAAATTGCATCGAGCTGACAATCAGTGTTAACCATCACATCCCGCTTGGGCTCTGAGTGATCGGAAGCACAGAGAAAACCCCTTACTTCTCGTGGGGAGGGGCTTTATGAGGCCAGCCAGGCGAGGGACAGGGTGGAAGTGTCATCACAATCCTTTGGCAGAGGGGTGTGAGGACACGGAGAAGAGACAGGAAGGCAGAGGACAGCCCCGCACAGATGTACTGATCCACCCTGGTGAGCTGCATGCTCAATGCCTAGAAGACGCAGGTGTGGACTGCCATGTTACTCCCCACTCTGTTCTCCCCCTTTGCCTTCCTCTGTGTTGGCTTGATTTTCTGGTCTCAGGATGGCTCCAGTGGGTCCAGCCATCCCATCTATAAGTCACTATGTTCAGAATTGGAGGAGTCGTTGTTTTCCGTGTGTCTTTTAGGTAAAAAAAAGTATATTTCCTAAAACTTCCCCGTCCCTGTTACTGACAGAGTTATGTACCCTGCTGTAACTGGTGTGTCCCTGGGGAATGTCTAAATGTAGCTGAGGTTCCGGTGTCAACCAGACAGAGACGCAGCAGGAGGGATAGTTCAGGTCACAGCATTGATGTCGGGCAGCTCCCAACTGCCTTTCATTCCAGCACTAGAACAACAGTGCCCTCTCCTGGCCTCTACAGAAACTGCACTCACCTGCACATAACACTCAGGACACACACATACTCATAATTTAGAGTACTTTTTTTAAGAGGAGAAAATGTTCAAGAGGGTAGTGGTGCCATTCACCCTGCTAGGGGCAGAAGATGCCCAGCCCCTGCTGTGAAACATCCGACCCATCCACGTGGGACAGCAGTCCTGTGCTTTCTCTCCGTTTCCCCATCCAGGAGGTCCTCACTGCCACCCTGGACCTGGAGGACGTCCGGAGCTACAGGGCAGAGATCTCATCTCGGAACCTGGAGGTAAGTGCCCTGGGAAACACCAGCCTGAGTGGTGAGCCAGGCCCTGCTAGTAGCGCAGTATGCTGTGGGCTTGACCAAGGCTATGGGGCCAGAGATGGTGCTGAACAGTGGCTGCTGTTGTGAGCCCGGCTCCTCTTGCTACGTATAGCATCCTTGGGGTCCACCATGTGGAAGCATAATGGGATTCTGCTCTGTTTCAGGGTACAGTAATACTCCACCCAGTGGCCATACCACTGGGTGCCCACCCCGCCTCCAGAGTTTTGAGTGAGCATGGGTTCCTTTCTCCTGGGTGTATCTGTCCAGGAATAAGTCCTCCGGCTTGCATGGGGCCCTCATGCTCAGGCTGCTGAAGAGTTATCAGACTGCTTGCCTGAGTGGCTGTTCCCCCTCCCATTCCCGCAGTACTGGGAAAAGTCTGTAACTTCTCTGCCCTTTCAAGCCCTTGTCAGCACCTGTCAACTTCGATCAGTCCATCCTGTTTCCCCATGGGCTTGTCTGTGTCTCCCATGGCTGCTAGAGCCCTGTTCCTCACCCATAAAGGCTCCAAACTGCAGCTGGTCACTGTGTCCTCATGTCCTCCCCCAACAGGCAAGCAGGGTGAGCCCATACCCCCGGGTGAATGTGGATTTTGCCCTCTCAGACAGTGAAGACTTGTTGGAACTGGTGTCAGAACCTGTGGAGTGGACATACCACAGTCCTGAGGAGGAGATAAGGTAGGTGCCCCTGGGTCTGGATCCTGTTGTTTTGTGGCCACCACCGTCCCAGTGGCTGCCAACGTTTGCCAGGTGTGAGGGCTGCAAGGATTCCCGAAATCTGCCTAGGGTGGACCCTATGCTTCACTGGAGTTAAGATGCAGTGGCTGCTACATAATGAGCTCTAAGATAGCTAGAGCTACATAGTGAGACCCTGTCCAAAAAAAGCGTCACTGTGGCTGATGAGGTTCTGCCTAGGGTGGTCTCCCTGTACTGTGTCCTGAAGCCAGGCTTCAGTGTGCCCATTTTATGTGGGATATCTCTGGGGTTTCCCCCAGACTTGTTAGAACCAAAATACCCAGACTAACATGAAGTACTTATGATAGCAGATGGCCCAGCAAGAGCCCAGGCTCAGGCCTGTGTCTCTGCCCTGCCTTTGGGGGCCCCCTGCAGGACCACTGTACAGGTGCAGTGAGCCAGGCTTGCGTCTCCAGACTCAACACTCTTATCTCCTGCAGCCTCGGACCTGCCTGCTGGCTCTGGGACTTCCTTCAACGGAGCAAACAGGTAGGGTGTCTAGTTCCTACCCACCCCAGGGGCTCTCCTGGTTGGTGTGTGAGTCTAGGGCGGGTTAGTGATGTTTTTCTTCGGGGGTGTGTATCTGAACTGGCCAGAGGCCCGATGGCTGAAGCCCACTTTGAGACCATGTGGTGGTCTGTGGAGCTGTTGAAAGGCAGAGGAACTCCTACGTCTCCCAATGTGTGCACATCTAGGGTCAGAAAGACAGCATGGGACCCAGAGTGGCATCTCCTGCCCTTTAGGAAACCTGTCATACAAGTGGGTCGTTTGCCCACCCCGGGGATGATGCTGAGCTATGTTCCTGTAGGAGTGTGGGGCTCACAGGGTGGTGCTAGGCTGGAGATTGGGTGGGGCACAGCCTATCCGCAGCTCGGTTCACGCTGTACTTGGTCGGCCCCTTCCAGGCTGGGTTTTTCCTGCCCCTGAGTGGCGGTGTGGATAGTGCGGCCAGCGCCTGCGTCGTCTACTCCATGTGCTGCCTGGTCTGCGAGGCTGTGCAGAGCGGAAGTAGGTGACATGATGTCCATTGATCTGAGGAGAGAGTCAGGTTGGGAACCAGTCAGGGAGCGAAGGACAAACCCAGGTCATGGGTACTGTGGGTGAGGAAGGCTTCATGGCTGGGCATAGATGTTGTCTGTCCTATTCAGGTCCCAGAACTCAGGCGGGTAACAGCCTTTCCTGGGCAGTTAGCAGATATGGCCTTGTCTGCCTGCCACTGTCTGTCAGCAGTGCAGCCCTGGGGGTTGGGGACACACACACACACACACACACACACACACACACACACACACACGACACACATAGGCTTTGAGGTCTGGCAACCTAGGTCAAGTCCATATCTCACCATGGGTGCAGTGGCCCTAAGAATAGCCTGTGTAGTGCAGGAGCAGAGGGTTAGCCCAGGACAGACCACAGGCTAGCCCAACACAGACCTCAGTTAATGCAGAACAGTGGGTTAGTGCAGTGCAGAACCGTGGATTGGGTTAGTACAGCACAGAGCAGTGGGTTAGTACAGTGCAGAGCCATGGATTGGGTTAGTACAGCACAGAGCAGTGGGTTAGTACAGTGCAGAGCAGTGGGTTAGTGCAGTGCAGAGCCGTGGATTAGGTTAGTACAGCACAGAGCAGTGGGTTAGTGCAGTGCAGAGCCGTGGATTGGGTTAGTACAGTACAGAGCAGTGGGTTAGTACAGCACAGAGCAGTGGGTTAGTACAGCACAGGGCAGTGGGTTAGTGCAGTGCAGAGCAGTGGGTTAGTGCAGTGCAGAGCAGTGGATTGGGTTAGTACAGAGCAGAGCAGTGGGTTAGTGCAGTGCAGAGCAGTGGATTGGGTTAGTACAGCACAGAGCAGTGGGTTAGTGCAGTGCAGAGCCGTGGATTGGGTTAGTATAGCATGGAGCAGTGGGTTAGTGCAGTGCAGAGCCGTGGATTGGGTTAGTACAGCACAGAGCAGTGGGTTAGTGCAGCACGGAGCAGTGGATTGGGTTAGTACAGCACAGAGCAGTGGGTTAGTGCAGTGCAGAGCCGTGGATTGGGTTAGTACAGCAGAGGGCAGTGGGTTAGTGCAGTGTAGGGGCCGAGAGTTAGCCCAGCACAGACCATAGGTTGGTCTAGTGTGTGTTAACGCACAGATCGGTGTGTTAGCACAGCTAGCCCTGTGAGCACAGGGACCAGTGTGCAAGCACCTGAGAGAGGGAATTGCTCATTTTTTTAGGACTCTGGGCAATGGACCAGGCTAGATTGGTGGTCTCTGGGGTGATCAATGGGAGTTAGATGCAAGGGAACATGGGAGATGGACTGTGGGAACTGAACAGACTGGGGGCTAACTAGGTGGGCTCCAGGGATGGACTGGGGCTAGTGTGTGGGAGCTCAAGATCAGACCAGGGGTACCTGGTACCTACGTGGGCCCCAGGGAGGTGGGCGGAGGCTGCCACTTGGAAGATGTGGGCTGGCTGCATGGGCACTTGGGAGGGAGGCCAGGACTTTGTGCACAGACAGTGGTTCTCATCCTGCCATGGTGGCTCCAGATCAGCAAGTGCTGACAGACATCCAAAGCCTGGTGGACGAGAACAGCTACACCCCACAAGATCCCCAGGAGCTCTGCGGACGCCTGCTCACCACTTGCTACATGGCCAGTGAGAACTCCTCCAAGGAGACCCACAGCAGGGCCACAGAACTGGCTCAGCAGATTGGAAGGTAGGACTCCATCCTGTGCCGAGCTCAGGCTGGCACCGTGGCAAAGGTCAGAGCTGGTGACAAGCCTGTGGCTGCAGTGTCTTTGTATGCACCTGGCAGCTGAGTGAAATGCTGCCGTGGGTTTGAGCCCAGACTGTACAGTTCACGCGTACACACATAAACATCCGTCACCCAGCCCTGCCCCTGGGTGCAGTTGCAGGTCACCTATTCCTGTCAGTGGGATACCATCGAGCTGGTCCAGCAGTCTTTGGGTGCAGCTTGCAGGCTGTGTGGGGAGACTTTTCCAGGAGGTGTGACTTCACCTCATCTAGAATAGTCTTTTATTCTGGCTCTTCAGAAAACCAAGACACTGCCTGTCACATTGCTGGGTACAGCCAAAAGCCTCCCTGCCAGCGGTTCTGTTCCTGGGCTTATGCCCAAAGGAGTTACAAGCCCAAACAGTTACCTCCACAGGACGCTCCTGGTTGTCACCTTTGTCACAGTAGTGAGAGGAGGAAATGGCCCCAACGTCCATTGGCTGATGAGTAGCTAAACAAAATGTCATCTGTCCACACCGGAGTACTACTCTGATGTGAAAAGGTGTGGAGTACCTCCAAAGCATACGTGACCCTTGGAATTGTCATGCTGAGTGACAAATGCCAGGCATCAAAGGTCATGACGTGCACAACTCTGTTGCTGTGAGTTGCCCAGCCCGACATATCCATAGTGGATATATCAGTCCAGACAGTGGACTGGCGGTTGTCAAGCGGGGGCGGATGGGAGCAGGGAATGACGGTTGCTAGGCAGGATTTCTTTCTGGCGTGGTGAGTTCTGGAACTAGATGGCGAGTAGTCCTGGTTTTACAGTGTCATGACTGGGCCGACCACGGTTGAGTCACATGCTCTGGGATGATAATTGAGGGTCAGCAAGAGGACTCAGTAGGTAAAGGTGTTTGCCGCCAAGTCTGATGACCTGAATTCAGCCCCTTGCACCCACATGCTGGATGGAGAGACTGACTCCCAGAACTTATTCTCCGATAGCCACACGCCTGCCACGGAATATGTGCCCCGCCCCCATACATGTGATAAGAAAATTTTTATTTTTAATTATTTATGTAGTGTGGGCATGTGCACATGAGTGCCAGAAGAGTGCGTCGAATCCCCTGGCACTGGAGTTAACAGGTGGTTGTGAGCCGCCATGAGGTTGCTGAGCCTTCTTTCCAGACCCAAGTGAATTTTTTTTTTTTTTTTCTTTCTGAGATAGGTCTCACTCTGTAGCTCTGGCTGACCTGGAGCTCATAGAAATCCATCTGCCTCTGTCTCCCAAGTGCTGCGATTTTAGGCGTGCACCACTATACCCAGGCCAAAGAAATGTTTTTCAAAGGTAGTTAAGAGCATGTCTTAGCACACCTGTGCTGACCGCTCTCACCCCTGCCCTTCCAGCTACCACATCAGTCTGAGCATTGACACTGCCGTGAAGGCCGTCTTGGGCATCTTCAGCCTGGTGACCCGGAAGTTCCCTCGGTTTTCAGCACACGGAGGGAGCAGCAGGGAGAACCTGGCCTTGCAGAATGTGCAGGTAGGTGTTTGAGCCTGGCCCTGATCCTCACAAAGGTGTGGAGGTAAAGTCAGTAAAAGACAGGGAGCCTGGGGATGTGATGGGCAGTGCTGGCTTAACCGCCTGTAAGCCTCACTAGAGACGCTGGCCACACAGCCATGCTTGGGGTTGCAGGTCTGTGAGTGTGAGCGCATGGGAAAGTGTGTGCCGAGTGTGTGCCCATCTGAGCCTTGGTGAGGCTGTGCGCTGGAGCATGACCACACACAGGTGTATGTGGGGACCTACCTGTGCATTTCATCCAGCCCTGGCCTGGCTGGCCCTGCCCCACCCCTGGGCTACCTTGGTTAGCCTACATGCCGTGTGTCAACAGGGAGAGGAAGGGTCCCAGGGCTTGCCTGTTGGGAAATGGCCATCTCTGTTTGTCCTATGTGTACTTGGCCACCTCTCAAATGGTAAATAGTATGGAGGACACTGCTGAGCATCTTCCTGGCTACCTCAGTGCCTGGCTCCTGCTGTGACCCTGCTGTGGACTGGTGTAGAAGGAGCATGGGAGGCTCCCCACCACCACCACCCCAGCCCCTGGCACAGGACAGATTGATTCATCCTGTGTTGTGTTCTGACTTGGTTGCTCCCGCGCTAGGGTTGCATCATAGTCCAGCTGCTTCCTGGGTCCTGGCACAGGGTAACTGCCTTCTTCCCTCATCCAGGCTCGGATAAGGATGGTTCTCGCCTACCTGTTTGCTCAGCTGAGCCTCTGGTCCCGGGGTGCTCGAGGGGGCCTTCTTGTGCTTGGATCTGCCAATGTGGATGAGAGGTGGGTGTGGCTGGGGAACTTGCCTTGATGACACCATAAGTCTCTGGTGGAAGTTTGGTCCTTTCAAGACACAGTCTCCCTGTAATATCTGGATATCCAGAGACTGCAGACCAAGAAACCTCTATCTGCTCCGAGCCCAACCCACTCTCATCCATTGCAGGCTGCTTCCATTTGTGACCTGCCTCCTCTCCTGTCAGCCCCACAGGCTCCCGTCACCTCCTCCTTTCCTGTCCCATGCATCATAGGTCATTTCATTGCAAACAGTTTTCCACTCCAAACAAGACAGCTGCTTTTCTGTGTGAATTGAAGACAAATGCCTTTTTCTCTTGCTTAAAAAACATCCAATAGGGGCTGGAGAGATGGCTCAGAGGCTAAGAGCACTGGCTGCTCTTCCACAGGTTCCGAGTTCAATTCCCAGCAAACACATGGTGACTCACGACTATCTATAACGAGATCTGGTGCCCTCTTCTGGTGTGTAGGCATATATGCCCGCAGAACACTGTATGCATAATAATAAGTAAATCTTAAAAACAACAACAACAACAACAAAAAACCCCAAACATCCAGTGGCCCTCTTGTTTCCAGGTAAAATCCACCCGACCTCAGACCCAGCAGTGGAGACTGGTAGATCCCCTTCCCAGGCTCGGTTTCCCTGCTTCCCTTCGGTGAGCGACTTCACCTCCTAACTGTCCTCACGTGCTCCTCATTAGCTGAGGAATTTTAAAAACATCATGTATTCATCAATTGTCGTTTCACCAGTCTGTCTATCCATAAGTTGAGTCACCCATCTGTCCATCCATTACTCTGACCACCCAACCATCTACCCATCCATTCACCCACCCATACATACATCCATCCACCCATCCATCCACCTACCCAACCGTACATATGTACACCCCCCCAACCATCTATCTATCCATCCACCCACCCAAACATACATGCATTCACCCCCACCCATCCATTCATCCACCCAACATACATACATACATACACTACCACCCACCCATCCATCCATCCACCCACCCATACATATGTACATCCACCCACTTATCCATCTACCCAATCACCCACATATACACCCACATATACATACACCCCCTATTCCGTGGTTTCATTTGGTTTGATTTTGAGACAGCTCCTTACTTTGAAGCACAGGGTAGCTTCAAACTTACTATGTAACCCAGGCTGCCCTCAAACTGGAAGCAATCCTCCTGCCTCTGCCTTCTGAGACTAGGATTATAGGATTGTGTTGCCATAGATAGCAGGGTTTTTTTTTTATTTGTGCATGTGCGCGCGCATGCGTGCAGCCAGCATGTGCCATGGCATGTGTGTGGAGGTCAGAGGACAACTTCAGTGTCGCTGCTCACCTTCTACCTTGTCTGAAGCAGGCTGTCATTGTTCACTACTGTAGACTCCAGGCTAGCTGTTCTGCAAGGTTCCCGGGATCCTGTCTCCATCTCTCCATAGGAGTGCCAGGATCACAGATGGTGCTGCTGTGTCCAGATTTATGTGGGTGCTGGGGATCTGAACTCAGACTCTTGTCCATAGCGAGTCTTTTTCTGTCTTGCCAGCCAGCTCCCAAATAATGACATGAGACTTCTTAATTATGAAAGCTTGGCTCTTAGCTTAGGCTTGTCCCACTAGCTCTTATAACTTAAATTAACCTGCTTCTACTAATCTTCGTTTTACCATGTGGCTTTTTACCTTTCTTTAATTCAGTATGTCCAACTCCCTCCATGTCTCCTTGGCATCTCCCTGGTGCCTGGATTATCTCCTCCTGCTTCCTCTCTCTGCCCTGAAGTCCTGCCTACACCTCCTGCCTAGCTATTGGCTATTCAGCTCTTTATTAAACCAATCACAGCAATGTATCTTCACACAGTGTACAAATATCCCCCAACACTCGTCCTTGTGGAGGAAATGCTTTACCCACAGAGCCATCCCCTTGTGCCCGGGCTGTTCTTTTTCTCCTTGGTGAAGGAGGGAGAGGAATCACCAGTGGGGGTGGGGTTGAGAGGATGATAGGAGCACAGTGGGGTTGCCATCCCTCTGCCGCAGCACGCAGCACCTAGCTGCTGCTGCTCATGCAGTTAGGAAGTGCTGGGTAAAGCAGCTGGTGCCACGAGAAGCAGTGAGTGAAGAGCTTGGGAGAGATGATGAGACACAGCCGTAAGGATGATAGATGGGGGCCTGTGGCATCTTGGGCCCAGTGAGTTACGTGAGAGTGTTTGATGACTGGCCAGGAGGACTCGGGGCTTGGTGTAGAGTTGTAAACAGATTGGCAGTGAGGTTGGGTAAGGAAGAGCACCCTGGCCCAGTTTGCCAAGCCTGCTCCCAATGATGGTACAAGGGATACATCCAGTTCCACATCCTGCTGACAGCTGGTGTAAAGGGCCACCTCCTGGGCAGCTGGTCATTCAGTATTTGGGGTACAGGTAAACCCAGGCTGGCAGGCACCTTCTGTTGACACCTGCCAGAAACCCCACCTCCCAGGAGGAATACAGGACTTCAGCACCAGTCATGTCATTTGTACACACAGCTTAGGCCCAGGGACCTCTGTCAAGGAGGGACAGGGGAGCCCTACAAGCCTGGGTTCCCGACATTAGGCAAGCTACTTGGTGGATGCCTTCTGAAGGAGGACTGTTGTCCCAGGCCTGCGGGTGACACACAGGTGAGTGAGGGTGCGTTGGGGTGGGGAGTGGTCTTGCTAACAGAAGATCAAAGTAAGGCCAGAACAATGGACACTCGAGGCAACCATGGCTGACGGTTGATGTCAGCTAGCAGGAGGTAGAGGAAGGAAGGCCAGAGTCCTGCCAGGGTCCATGAGGCCATGGAGAGTGGTCTGTCCCATGGAAGCAGAAGGAGAGCAGGATGTGTTGTGAGCACCTCTCCGGGGCCCGTGCCTCTGCTGGTGTCAATCTGAGTTCCACTGCCGTTCCACCATCCCTCTGTTCTACCTGAAGACACTTCACCGAGGCTAGTAGATTCGTCACTATGTGCCAGTTTAGCTTGGAGCCCCTGGGTCAGCAGAAACTCCTGTGTGGCCAGGAGTGGGTGGTCTCACCAGGGAACACAGTGGCCTGTGGCAGAGCTATGGCAGGTGGGCGGGGTTAGGAGGTGTGTGAGCTCTGAGTTGTTTGTTCTCACGGTCACTGCAGGGCAGCTGCTTTAAGCTGTCAAAGTGCTGAGGTCGTTGGTCCTCGCCGAGGCCTCTGGAGGCTCGCCCTACACCCACCGCCAACCCAACCCTCCCTGTACCCTCACACCTTCAGCGTCCTGATGGCCCCTTTGGCCGTGACTCTAATTCTTATTCCCTTTGAGGAGACCTAGAGCTGTTTCTCACACCCACCCTGTAATCCTGGTCCATCTTTGTCTGGAGTCCTCAATACATCTTCAGGGCCCTTTTTACTATGTGAGGTCACAGAGCCAGAGCTCCAGATCAGAGCTTTATATCAGGCTGAGTGTGCACTTGTGCAAGTTCCTGTCTCCCCTTCTGAAGCCTCTGTCCCTCAGCTCCACCTAGCTGTCTCTGGCCTTCTAGACAAGCTGTTCCCAGTCAGCAGATGGTGGTACCCAAGCATTCTGAGCCAAGATAGATGTCTACACAGTGTGCCCAAAGTCAACCTGCTGGCCTCCTCCAGGGCCTGGGTTATACTGGGCTTCAGACTTCTGGGCCCCTGGAAGAAGGGAGCCCTTGGCCAGCACTGGTGGAACCCATAGCCAGCAGTACCCCAGAAACCATGGGGACACTATCCTTTTTCCCTGGCAGTCTCCTCGGCTACTTGACCAAGTATGACTGCTCCAGTGCAGACATCAACCCCATAGGCGGCATCAGCAAGACAGACCTGAGAGCTTTTGTCCAGTTCTGCGCCGAGCGTTTCCAGCTTCCCGCTCTGCAGATGTGAGTGCTCCTGTAGCTCCTGGGCCACCAAGGCCACCCTTGCTCCACTTGGCCATCCTCCTTAGCTTCCTATGCCCCACCCTCCAGCTGGGAGCATGAAGTCATGACCCCACCCACTCCTGTTCCTGCACCCATAGTTTTAAGTGTCTTAAGTGACAATTCCTCCTAGACTGGCTTTTCTCCTGCTGCCATCTCAGGGCAGAGGGACTGGTGGTGGCACCTGCTGAAGACACCCACAACCTATCAGGACACTACAGCATCATTACTGGTGCCAGGAAATGTGGTGGTATTGTGTTCCCCAAAATATTGTGCAACCTAATAAACTTCTCTGGGGTCAGAGACAGAACAGCCACTAGATACAAAGGCTAGAAAATGGTGGCACTCACACCTTTAATCCTAGCATTTCAGAGGCAGAAATTTGTCTGGATCTCTGCGAGTTCAAGGCCAAAGGGATACAGCCAAGCATGGTGACACATGCCTTTAACCCCAAGAAGTGAGCCTTTAATCCCAGGGAGTGGTGGCAAAAACAGAAAGATATATAAGACATGAAGACCAGAAACTAGCAGCATTTGGCCTGGTTATGCATTTTGGCTGGTTAAGCTTTCAGGCTTTCGAGCAGCAGTTCAGCTGAGAGCTATTCGGATATGAGGACACAGAGGCTTCCAGTCTGAGGAAACAAGATCAGCTGAGAAGTTGGCCAGGTGAGGTTAGCTGTGGCTTGTTCTGTCTCTCTGATCTTCCAGTGTTCACCCCAATAACTGGCCTCAGGTTTGATTTTATTAATGAGAACTTTTAAGATTCATGCTACATCTGGCGCCCAATGTGGGGCACGAACCCATGACCCTGAGATTAAGAGTCTCATGCTTTACCGACTGAGCTAGCCCATTTTGGGGAACACAATACCACCACAAGGAAACCTGTGTCCTTGCTGTCCTTGCAGTAAGTCATGTCCGCAGGGGACCTCTGGCAATATGTGGAGGTCCCTTTGGTTGTCACAAAGAGTTCCTGGCAGCTCATAGGCACAGGCTGGGGGTCCTCCCAAATGTCCTGTGGTATATCGAGCTACCCCACCATACCCTCTCGGTCCAGTCTCCTGACCACAGCTACTAATATTCCTGCAGTGGAGGGCCCCTGTCCTGCGCTCTTCACCTCCTTACCCACTTTGATCCACTGTCCTTTGGGTCCTGAAGCCTCAGGATCATGAGCCCAGGCATGACCCTGCCAGTCATGGCCAGCCCGACTGCAGTCTGTCTAGGGACGTCCTGCCAGAGCTCACGAGCACATCAGCAGCCCTAGTGACTGACTCAGTGTGTCTTAACTGCAGCATCCTGTCAGCACCGGCCACTGCAGAGCTGGAGCCCTTAGCCAACGGGCAGGTGTCTCAGACAGATGAGGTAACGATGGTGGCTTCGTTGTGGTGGATGTGTCTCCCCTTCTCACTGGGTCCCTTCACAGCCTCCTTCTGCCCAAAGGAAACCTTTCTGCCATGGGACCCTGGTTCACTCGGGCCAATGGAATTGCTGACCTCAGACACTCTGACTTAGCTTTCTCATTGTGGTTAGGGCTGAGGAAGGGGATGACAGGGTGGGTCAGAAGCAGAGTGAGGATGACGAGCTAGGAAACAGCAGGTTCCCTCCCTCAGAGCAGCCTTGGAGTAGAGTCATTCACCTCCCATGCAGGCAGGGTCTTGGTCATTTTTCCAAACCTACATCTCCTGGCACCCAGTGAGTTCTGAGAACCCCAGCTGGGCACCCACTCCCGACCCTTGTTGAGCCTCATCTCTCCTGGACATTTAGTCCCCGACTGCAGGAGGCTCTGAGGCCCCTCCCAGCAGCACCCCACTGTGCTTTAAACACTTCTGTCCCCACAGGAAGACATGGGGATGACATACTCAGAACTCTCCGTCTTCGGCAGGCTTCGGAAGGTTGCCAAGGCAGGGCCCTACAGCATGTTCTGCAAACTGCTCAACATGTGGAAGGACAGCTGGACGCCAAGACAGGTAAAGCCATGTGTGACATCAGGCTGAACCACCTATGGGTGACCCCAAACAGATAAACTCGTTTCATACACAGTAACATTTTACGCTGTCATCTTCACCAGCTTGGGATTCCTGGCTGCCCGAAGTTAACCCAAGTATGGACCAGCCATGCCGGTGTGCTGGTGTGGTACAGAGGCTTCAGAATGCCTCAAGACTCCACTGGCCAGAGGACTTACTGTGTACCTGGTTGTTTTTACTCTTTTGCTCTTTTGGGGGGCCCACCACCCAGCTCCCAAATTAATCACACCCAGAGGCTTATTATCACTTATAAATGCCCGACCTTAGCTTGGCTTATTTCTAGCCAGCTTTCTTTAACTTAAATTATCCCATCTACTTTTGCCTCTGGACTTTTTCCTTTTCTTACTTCTGTATATCTCACTTTTACTCTTACTCCATGGCTGGCTGTGTGGCTGCGTGGCTGTGTGGCTATGTGGCTGTGTGGCTGGCCCCTAGCGTCCTCCTCTCCTGTTCTCTTGCTCCTTGATCCTCTTTTTTAATGTTCTTCTCCTTCTATTTATTCTCTCTGGCTGCCAGCCCCGCGTATTTCTCTTTTCTGTCTCGCTATTGGCCATTTAGCTCTTTATTAGACCAATCAGGTGTTTTAGACAGGCAAAGTATCACAGCTTCACAGAGTTAAACAAATGCAATGTAAAAGAATGCAACACATCTTTGCATCATTAAACAAATGTTCCACAGCAGAAACAAATGTAACACACCTTAAACTAATATTCTACAACATCACTGGGTCCATGGACCCACCTGGAGGCCTCCAGGAGCACCGCACTGGGCTGTCAGAACCAGGACTCTACAGTTTTGCAGCTCAGCCAGTGTCAGCCAAGCTGTTAAGTCTCCATGTTGTTGTCAGGAAAAGGCAGGGACAGTGAGTGCTGGCACCTGGTGGCCGTTTATGTCTCCCAAAAGCAGGCCTCTTAGCCTTGAGTCTTTCCTGCCTTTCTGACTTGAAGCCCACGTGTCTCTCGCCCACCAGGTAGCTGAGAAGGTGAAGCGGTTTTTCTCAAAGTACTCCATGAACAGGCACAAGATGACAACCCTCACGCCAGCATATCATGCTGAAAGCTACAGTCCTGACGACAACAGGTTTGACCTGAGGCCCTTTCTGTACAACACGATGTGGCCCTGGCAGTTCCACTGCATTGATAACCAGGTGAGCCCTACTGGAGAGCGTGGTGTGTCAAGCCTGGGAGGACATACGAGGGGCTTCCCTTGAGAAGAAAAACTTTTTCATATGGAAAATGACATGGCATGCTACTGTCCTTGCTTCAGCAATGGGATTGTTTTATTATATATATTATATATAATATGTTATACACACACACACACACACACACACACACACATATATTTGGTTTGGTTTTTCAAGACAAGGTTTCTCTGTATAACAGCCATAGCTGTCCTGGAACTTGCTATGTAGACCAGGAGGGCCTTGGACTCACAGACATCGGCCTGTATCTATCTGCCTCCTGAGTGCTGGGATTAAAGGTGTGCACAGGCTTATTTTTATATATTTTTGAGACAGGTTCTCTCTGTAGCCCTGTAGAACTTGCAGAGTAGACCAGGCTGGCCTCAAACTCACAGAGACCCTCCCGCCTCTGCCCCTGGAGTGCTGGGGTTGAAGGCACCACATCTTTGACTAAAGCATACTTAGCTCCCCTACCCCCACCTCTGTCCTTTTCTGAAGACCACAGCGGAGACACCCTCAGATGGCAAGTTAGTCACAGCTCCTTCTCAGCGAGGCTCTGCTCTGCTGAAGAGAGGGGCAGCTGCTCAGCACAGGGACAACAGTTAAAGCTGGCGAACCATGGACAGTGCTCTGCTGAGCTGCAGAACCCAAGGGACCAGAAGAACTGTCAGGAACCTCGGCTATGCAAGGACCCTGAGCAGCTAGCGTGCACTTTGAGGGTGCAAGGCGTACTTGCTACCTCTACGTCGTTAGGTGCCCAACTGGGTCATCCTGATGCTGGAGTCAGAGCTTCTGACATCCAGAAGGAAGGCAGGGATGCTGCCAGGTGGTACCCTGCCCCTGAGAGTCATCTGGTCCCTTTGGTCAGTAGTAATGCTGGGGCCAAAGAAAACTGTCGTGGGACTGGAAAACCCTGTGAGCTGTCCCTTGCAAGGAAGTGACTCTGTATCCAGCTGACTTTGGGAACCACCCCCACCCCACCCCCAGTAACTCAGAGGATTCAATGGAAGTCAGTGGGATGTTGGGAGGTAGAGCTGCCGCTGGGAAGCAGGTGGTGGCCACTAGGAAGCTGACACGTGGGTCAGGATACTATTGTCCTATGTTCTCACTGTCTACGCAGAGCCTGCATGCTGTGTAGCTGATACCCACATGCTTTGTCCCTGAGTCCTGCTGTCCCTGAGTCACAGGAATGGAACAGTCTAGCCACCTAGGGGAGAGGGTAGGAGCTGCATCAGCTCTGATGTTTAATTTATTGTTGTTCTTCGTAACTATGTATGAATCTACCTGTATGGATATGTGCATGTGAGTAAAGTGCCCATGGAGGCTAGAGACATTGAACTTCCTGGAGCTGGAGTTACAAAAAGTTGTGATCCACTTGACATCTGCCTGGGGAACTGAACTCAGGTCCCCTGGAAGAGCAGCAGGTGCTCTCACCCACTAAGTTATCTCTCCAACACCAAGCTCTGGCTTCTTTAGTGGTGACAAGGGTTTGGATACTCCACTTCCCACCAAGACCCACTTGGCAGCAGTTCCTCCAGATCAGCAAGGGATTTTGAAGCTGTGTGGCCTCACGGTGGGCAGAAATAGAATCACCCAGAATCTCGCCATCCACAGTGGCCACCAGGGACTCCTGGGCCAAGCCTTTCCCCAGCACCCTCTACACTCTATCCCTGGGTGACCCATAACTTCCATGGCTGGTAGTTTTGTCAGCTGGTTCTTTGAAGGGTGATGGAGACAGTTCTAATGGGCTTCTCTCCAGGTTCTACAGCTTGAGAGGAAGAAACAGCAGAGCCTAGAAGACTGGATGTTGGAAGAGCCGTCACCTGTATGGAAGCATCTCCTCCCTGGGGATCCCTAGCATGATTTCAAATCACCAATGGTCAGGACTAGAGGCCCCGCCCACCACTGCCCTCCTGGAGCCAGGTTTTGTTTACCTTTCAAGGAAGAGAGAGATGTTCATTTTAATGCCATAAGAAATAAACAAAAATGCTCTTTTTAAAAATGTATTTTATTTTATATGTATGGCCTCTTGCCTACATGTATGTCTGTGTATCACATGCATGCCTAATGCTCGTAGAGGCCAGAAAGAACATCAGGTCCATTGGGATTTGAGTTACAAATGATTGTGAGCCACCGTGGGGTGCTAGCTGGGAATCTGACCTGGGTCCTCTCCGAGAGCAGCCAATGTGGTTCACAGACATGCATGCCAACAGAAAAAGTCATACACATAAAATAAAATGAGTAAAATTCTAAAGACAAAAAGATTTATTTATGTGTACAAACATGTGTCTATGTGTGTGTGCATGGGTGCCCACAGAGGCCAAAAGAGGGCATCGGATAATCTGGAGCTGTAATTACAGGCCGTTGTGGGCCACCCGGTGTGGGTACTTGGAAACTGAACTCCAGTCCTCTGAAGGTAACAAGCACTGTACGAACTGAGCATCAAGTATGCTCGGACATGCTCAGTCATAGTGCTCTCCACTGTGGATATGGCCATCGTGGGTTAGAGGATGCCCCCATGTGGGGATGGGCCTGTCTAGGCAGAACCCTGACGTGGCTTCTGACCAAGGAGGGGCATCTAGAGCAGGAAACACATGAGAAGCCCTCCCCCTCCTCCCCACACCTGCCCCCCTGTCCTGGGTTCTAGTGGGATCATGGATGGTTCTGCCACATTTGCTTATATGGAGTCTGAGAGCCAGCCTTCCTTGTCCTGTGGGGACCTGCATGGTCTGGGAGCAGGGCTGGTGTGGGATGGCATCTGGCCCCTTTCTCTGACTAGAGGGCCCTTCAGGGCACCCCCTCCCCTGTGTGTATACCTCTGCCCAAGGGCAGCTGCGTCTTCTGCCTGGCTCGTGGGCTTGCCTCCTTCCTGCCAGGCAGTGCTCTGGCTGGCTGTCCAAGTGTAGAGTAGTGGCCACTCGATATGTCAGAAGCATAAAGATGAACACATTTGTCTTTCCACAATGTCAGAATTCATTGAATAACAAATTCACAAGATACAGCTTTTTCAGTGACCACAATGTGCCAAATAGTCCCGCTTTCCTCGATAGCCTGGCCAAGCACACAGTTTCTTTCATTCTAATCTGAATGACGAATGCTATCAGAATACACATACTACATCACTTAGTGAGTAACCCCCGAAGGGTTGACAAGGCGTTCCAAAGAGGCATGAGGAGTCAAGACTGGAAAAACAGTAGACGGCGCCGGAGCCTCTATTGATAAGGTAACACACCAGAAGCTGGGGACGCTGTGGCAGCCACTACAGGTGAAAGGGCAGCTTTGGTCTAGGCAGAGGAACCAGCAGGTGGGCAGCAGGTCCCCACGAGAGTGAGGGAGATGGACGGCAATTCAAGGAGGCTGCATGCGGTGGGGAACAAACCAAGCGGAGGCCCCTGGGAGAGTCAGGGTTATCTGCCTGTCTCTCCCTGATGGGCACACGCTGGGTAATCAGGTGACAGGTCAGTGTGGACTGTCACCATTACAGCAGCTGGATTTTTGGAGGCTGGTGGAGACAACTTTAATGGGCTTCTCTCCAGGTTCCACAGTTGGAGAGGAAAGCACCCCAGAGCCAGGAGGGCGGGGTACAGGGCTGGAGGACTGGTTTGAGAGCGATCACCTGCAGTGGAAGCATCCACCCCAGAGGTCCTTAGTGTGACTTTTTTTTTTTTTTTAATTTAGGATTGTGAGGATATTTTTGGTTTGTTTTGGGGAGGGGTTGGGTGTGGTTTTGGTTTTTGGTTGTGTGTGTGTGTGTGTGTGTGTGTGTGTGTGTGTGGATGTGTGGATGTGTGGATGTGTGGCTATGGAGATCAGAAGAGGGTGAAGGAGCTCCTGGAGCCAGGGTTGCATGCAGTTGTGAGCAGCCTGATGTGGGTGTTGGGAATTGAACTCAGGTCCTCTGTAAGAACAGTAAATGCTTAATTGCTGATTCATCTCTGCACCTCCCTAGTGTGACTTTTTAATCACCAGTGGCCAGTGTCCTGAGTCCTTCATGGCGGAAGCTGTGCTCTGATTACTCAGATGGAAGAACCCTGGGGAGTCACAGACTCTCCTTGCAGACAGGGAGAAGTTTCCTTCAGAGGGGACACGTCACTAGGGCCCTCAGCTGTGGGAACATGGAGGACAGAAGAGAAGGCTGGGGAGGAACTGAGCCCTTTACTAGACTCAGGACCTCGCCTTTATTTCTTAGGCAGACCTCACTAACCAGGATGGAGGAGGCAGACAGGAATATGGCATAGATTTCCTGCTAGGATGGAGACTTAGATGCTCAGCCTGGACAGTTAGACACTGTCCCCCTGCGGGAAGCAGGAGACGGCAAGTGAGGCTTGGAGGTCTTTACGGGAGGGATATGGAGTGAGATGGGAAGCTGGGGGTGAGACTCAACCCAGCTTTGTCCACTCGGGGTCCGACTTCCAGTGCAGAGGCTAAGAGAGTCGTGCTCTGACACCTTGACTCCGTATGTGTGGCATGTGCTCTGCTCCTCTTGGGCATGGGGCCCAGCCCCACTTCTAGATCCTTCATCAGACAGATGTTCTTTGTCAGCCACCTGCAGTCACTAGTCCCTGAACTGCTGTGTGGAAGCAGCGCCCTCTTGTGGCAGGTCTTTGGGGGGACCTGCACATGGGATCGCATGTAGAAGGTTGAGTCAATCCAGCTGTGTCCACTCTGCTTGGGGTCCTACAACCTCTTCTGAGGCCCATGGATCGTTTCTCATGTTCACCCCCCACTCCCACCAGGTGATTTCCATTTATAGTGAGTGGACTTTTACAGAGACTTGTATGGCAGGCTAGGTTTTCCTCTAATTTTTTGATTTGTTTATACTTTTTCAGATGTTTGATGTGTGCACCAGCCAGTGGCCTGAATCCTACCCCTCACCTTGAGTCTCACATGCTTCTGAAAGGACAGTAGGGGAGGAGATGGAAGGTCAGAGGTACAGGGTTAGAGCCAGGGGTTGTTCCCAGCAGCATCTAGATGTCTAGGCAGTGATGCATGCTGGGCCAGGCGAGGTAAAACATGGGGCCATGTGTGTGATAAACCCAACTGCGATCTTCATGATACCCAGGGAAGCAGCCTGAGTGCAGTGGAGTCCTGCAGGGAGAGGGTCACTTGTCATAAAGACAAATTGAAAAGCTGGAGACCTGGAGTGGAGCCAGTGTGGATCTCCGTATTGAACACTGTCAAAAGTGTTTTCTCTGGCCAGGGACAGAGGGGGAAGACCAGCACTATGGGGACTAGAGTTGCCCCAAGGCTCGGCTACAGAGGTGTCCTGGAACATGTGAGAGTTAAAAACCAAGCCCTGGGGGCTGGAGAGAAGGCTCAGCAGTTCATAGTGTTTCAGAGTGCATACTGCCTTGCAGAAGACCTCAGTTCAGTTCCCAGCCCCCTTGTAACTCCAGGAGATCCAACATCCTCTTCTGGCCTTCAAGGGTACCTATACTACATACACAGACACATGTGTATGCACATAATTAATAACTTTTTTTTGAGACAGGGTCTTACTATGTAGCTCTGGCTGACCTGGAACTAACTCAGTATGTAGACCAGGCTAACCTCGAACTCACAAAGATCCACCTGCTTCTGCCTCTCAAGTCTGGGATTAAAGGTGTATCACCATGCCAAGCAATTTAAAAATAAAATACTTTGGGACTGGAGAATTGGTTCAGTGATTAAGAGCATGTACTACTCTTGCAGGGAACCTACATTCAGCTCCTTATTACCTATGTCAAACAGCTCACAGTCACCTGCCAAGTCCAACTCTATGTAATCCAGTGCCCTCTTCAGGCCTCCGTGGGCAGCTGCACTCATGTGCATGTACAACCCAACACAAATACACAGGCATACATGTAACTTATTTATTTATTTTGCTTTTTCAAGACAGGGTTTGTCTGTGTAGCCCAGGCTTTCCTGGAACTCATTCTGTAGACCAGGCTGGCCTCAAACTCAGAGATCCACTTGCCTTTGCCTCCCAGGTGCCAGGATTAAAGGTGTGCACCACCACCACCTGGCTTACATGTAATTTTTTAAAAAATATTTTTGTGCCGGGCGGTGGTGGCGCACGCCTTTAATCCCAGCACTCGGGAGGCAGAGCCAGGCGGATCTCTGTGAGTTCGAGGCCAGCCTGGGCTACCAAGTGAGTTCCAGGAGAGGCGCAAAGCTACACAGAGAAACCCTGTCTCGAAAAACCAAAAAAAAAAAAAAATATTTTTGTATTTTTATATTTTAAAAAATCTGGTAAAAGTGCTTGCCATCAAGCATGGCCACCGGAGTTCCATATTTGGATTCCATATGGTGGAAAAAGAGAACTAACTGTCAAGAATTGTCCCCTGATCTCCAGGTGCACACCATGGCACAAGCCTGCCCACACAAAAAAATAAAGAAATAAATGTAAAAAAGTTGAGATCATTTTGCTGCCTGCGGGTCCAGCCCCCAGCAGCACAGGGCTCAAAGCGAATTCACAGAGTCGGCACATACTAGGACTTTTTTATCTCTGGCATAGGAAAAAAGACACACTATCTCTTGATGGTTTCCTTCTTTACTCTTCTGTGTTCTATATTCTCTTTTCTTATCTCTCTCCAGAAATGTTCCTTCTGACTCTCTTGATGTCCTTCTTCAAGCTCTCTTGATGGTCTCCTAATTCTCTCATTCTTCATGTTTTCCTTCTAACTTATTTTTAACTCTATTCTTTCCCTTACAGCTTATGTACCCCAGCAAAATCTTTCAGGCAATATAAAAATTACAGTGTGGTTACATTCTAGTTTTCAAGTGAATGATTGCAATGAACACAAGTAAAAAAAAACTTGTTTTCCATATCCCTTGCACAATTAAACACTCTATGTATTACAGGTGAAAAACAAATTATCCCAAGAACCCATGTACATTCATACCCAAGCAGCTTGTTATAGATTAACCATGTAGGCAGGCAAGATAGTCTTCTCAGTCAGGTCTTTTACTGGCAGGCTGCATTTTGCAGTTACAAAGAAAGGGCCAATTACTTTATTACTTATCTTGAAAGGTAATATTATAAGGAATTTTAAAGGAATCACAAACCTAAACTTTTATATTTTATAAAGAATGTATTATATTATAAAGAATCAGTCAGCTCTACTTTAAATCTCTAGGGTATGTACCCACTCATCAATAGTTTTTTTATATCAAGAGATTAGTCGGGTGGTGGTGATGCATACCTTTTTTTATCCCAGCACTTGGGTGGCAGAGGCAGGCGGCTCTCTGTGAGTTCGAGGCCAGCCTGGTCTACAAAGCAAGTTCTA